GGGTTTAGGGTTTAGGGTTTGGATTAGGGTTCAGGGTTTAGGGTGCTATCGTGGGTTCTATAGTGGGTTCTGTAGGGCTTTATGTGGTTTTGGGGGTGTGTTTTACGGGGTTCTGTTAAGGCTTGAAGAGGCTGAAACTTATGGGTTTTTTTCGGTTCTAGCACGGGGGTCTCAGGGGCCTTAATATTAGAGTAAGACGACAAGGGGATACTCTTGGTAAGATTCCGACCACTTTCTCACCGAGTTTGCCCAGGCCGACGCATCAATCCTAGATTAGCTTAGGATTTAGGGTTTAAAGTTTAGGGCTTAGGGCTTAGGGTTTAGGTGCTTTCTGCGAGTTACCAGGGTGTGTACAGGCTTTGAGGGATTGTGGTGTCATGTGCTAAAACTTACGCCCGAAACCGTTAAATTTGAAACCCCAAGGCCCTAAACCTTGGAATTCTCTAACCCCCTGAATCCCAACCCCTCAAACCGTGAACTCTAAACCCCAACCTTTGGCTTTCCGATCCTAAAACCCCAAGTCAACCCACAAAACTCCGAAGCCTACCGGACCAACTTTCAGTCGGATTAGGGTTTAGGGCTTGGGGTTTAGGGTTTAGGGTAGCTTGCCTTTCAACACCTCTAGAAACAGCTCAACTTACGTCTCCCAGGCCTAGCGACGGCATCTGCAGAGACCAGACGTTGAAGAGGTCTGGGGACATGGTCTGCAGCTGGAGGCCCTTCACCTCGGATCTCAAGGCTTCCTCTTTGAGGGTTTGGGGTTTGGGGGGTTAGGGTTTGGGGGTTTAGGGCTTGGGGGTTTTAGTGTTTGGGGGTTTAGGGTTTGGGGGTTTGTGCAGACGAGATGTAAATTACGTTCAACTCGCCATGCACCCAGGAGCTGCCTTATCTTGTTGGCCATGGAACCATCCGGGTCCTCAGGCCTAGTGCCTCGGTTTTTGGAAGTAAGGCTTAGGCCCTAGTCCCTAAACCCTAAACTAGGCTGCAGGATCTAGCATGTACTGTTTAAGGTTTAGGGTGTGAGGTCTGGAGTTTCGGGTTCACGGTGCAGGGTCTACAGTTTAGAGTTTAGGGGAGAGGGGGGTCTCCAGTAATGTAGACCCTCGGCGAGCAAGCCTATTTCCCTGACTGAAGACTCTGGGGAGGGGATCCCCATATGCATATCAGGGGCTTGCAGTACAGGGTTCGGAGCTTGAGGGCTCAGGTTTCGGGTTCAGGGCTTTAGGTTTAGAGGTCTCGCAGAGGCGCCCAAGTTAGTCAGTAAGAACTACTTGAGAAGGGGTGCCTGAATCAGTAAGTAAGAGAGCTTCAGGGTGGCTTCGAGGCCCTCAAAGCCCGAAGGACGTGCAGAAAGGAACACAAGATGTCCGAGTCACCTGTGCCCCAAGCATCCAGCTCCATTCCTTCTTCCTCGGCAACTCGACTCTTCCTGTTGTTCTCTCTTTGTACTTCCACCTTACTTAATACGAAATCAAAGTTCTATCTTCTCCAGCAGCCAACATGACAGTTGCCCCACAGAGTACAGAGCGCTGCGTTCTTGCACGAGTCTCCCGAGCACCCTGAAGATTCAAAAAGCTGTATGATGTCAGTGTCTAAGACACGCAAGGCTTAGCCAGCAACAGGAACGCACCAGGCGGCCACCGCTTCAAAAACACAGAGAAGCTCTGTACCCTAAAATTTGGTGCAATATAAGCTTTCGGAACCCTAAAACACCCAAACCCTAAACGCTTTCAACTCCAGAAACCTTACAGCCCTGAACCCAAAACCCAATAACTAGAAAAGCCGTAGATTTGACCCAGAAACCCCCTCCAAACCCTAAACGCTAAACCCGAAAAGCTAAACCCTAAAGTCTCAACCCTAAACTTTAAACCCTAAACCCTGAACCCTAAACTCTAAACCCTAATCCCTTAACCCTAAACTCTCAACCCTACTCTGGACTCTAAACCCTAAACCCTGAACCCTAAACTCTCAACCCTACACTCTAAACTCTCAACCCTAAACCCTGAACCCTAAACTCTCAACCCTGAACCCTAAACCCTGAACCCTAAACCCTGAACTCTGAACCCTGAACCCTAAACCCTGAACCATAAACCCTGATCCCTGAACCCTGAACCCTAAACCCTCCCTGAATCCTAA